ATTCAGGACTAGTTTAAGAGCAACTAGCTGATGTTGTAGTCTGTTAAAATCACCCTGTAGCTTAGCAATCACGTCATCCGGAGAGCGGCCAGCAGTAATCAGTATCGTGTCATCTGCAAAAAGATTTACCCTGGAATGATCCAGATCAGTGCCTAAGTCATTGACATAAAGAGAGAACAAAAGGGGGCCGAGGATGGAACCCTGCGTTTTCGGAAAAACCGAGGCAACTTAGTTTACTAAGCAGGGTGTTGTGGTCTACTGTATCAAAAGCTTTGGACAGGTCTAGAAAAAGACAGGCACAGTACTGCTTATTATCAAGGCTTCTGTAAATGTGATTCAGAGAGTCTAATGCAGCAGATGTGGTGCTATATTTTTTTTGGAACCCAAATTGTTGTAGATGTAGTAGATTGTTGGTGGACAGTAAACTGCTAATTTGGTAGGTCAATAATTTTTCAAAAATTTTCATAAACGGGGACAAAATTGAGATAGGTCGGTAGTTATTTGGATCAATTTTAGGGCCTCCTTTGTGAAGTGGACGGACAAAGGAATGTTTCCATTCTAGAGGAACTGTGTGCTTCTTTGATGGACAGGTTGAAAATATGGGCTATAGGTTTGTATATTAGGTGACCAACAGTTAGTAGAGCAAAGACGGGAATACTATCTGCTCCGGTAGAGGAGGACCCTTTGAGGTAGGACAGTTGTTTCAAAACATTACTTTCGTGGATTGGCTGGAAACTAAATTCGTTTAATGTTTGGACAGGGGTGTAGGAATTTGCATGCGCTGGGGTGACTCCCAATACATTATCAAAAAGATTACCAGCTTCAGAAAAATTAAGGTTAAAAATGTCAACTATTTTCTTGGGATATGAAAAATATTCCCCATTTCGGTTTAGCTCAACGGGCAGATTATCTCTTTTGGATGCCTTTTCGATACATTTGATTGTTTTCCAGAAAATCCTGGCATTTCCATGTGATTCCAGGAGAGTGGAGGAAAAGTAGGCATTTTTTGCATGCCGTATTTTTTTAACGCATCTATTCCTTAAAATCCTGTATTTTAGCCAGTCATTCACCAAATTACTTTTCTGAGCACATGCCCAAGCCTTGTCCCTAGTTTTCATGAGTTTTGTAATCAAAGGATCAAACCATGGTGGGCGGTTGCCTTTAGTTTTAAATCTAACCAACGGAGCATTTTGTAAAGAATTTGGAGAAACGTGTACCTGAAGGTCTCCCAAGCCATAGTCAGGTTGGGGATATCACAGACCATGTCAATATCCGAGTGAAGCACATCATTAGTAAATGCCTGAGTGCTGAAGTGTCTCATAGAGTGCTTCTCAACCAATTTAGGGGGGGCTTTGGGTCTGGCTGATGATGTCACCCCAAAAATGAAGGAGTGATCACTAAGGTTATTACCCAGAACACCAGTCAGTGTGAAATTGTGAGGGGCATTTGTCAATAGGACGTCAAGCAGAAATCACTGTCCCGGATTTTTTAGATTGGGTCTTTTGGGGACATTTATTAATTGAAACAGATTAAATCAATCTGCAAAATTTGTGGCCACGGCCGGCAGGTTTAGCCAATTCCAATTTAGATCACCCACTAAAACGATTTCACCGTTAGGGAGGCCCCCAAAAAGCTCTCTCAGTGCAGATGCAGCTTCAACATCCTTCCCACTAGGCAGTCGATAGCAGCACACTACCAATATCTGTTGATTATTTGGGAGCGTTATTCTGAGAGCCAGACCTTCAAAGCAACATTTTTTAAACAAGGAGTGAGCTAGTGAACATGCAATAGTATGACGAACATGGATGGCAATTCCACCTCCTTTAGATCCTCGGTCAAGCCGAAAAAGGTTGTAGTTGTCAATCGCAATCTGCAAGTCATTGACGGCAGGAGTGAGAAATATTTCTGTTAGGCAAAAAAATGTCCGGGTCAAGATTTGCCACTTCTAGTGGGGAGAACGGCGATAGACACCGCAGTGAACAGCGAATCGGAGGTGCGGGGTGGAAGGACAGCAAACTAAAGGCAAATAAAAGCAACACAAAAAGCGGTGTATTTGTTTGTCGACGTTGAAAAACTGGAATTGAGCTAGCCGATACAATTGTGTGTCGTTGTTTGTTTGTGCCTGTTGTTTTGATGCCATTTCTAAATTTGTTCATTCATTTATTTTATTTTTGCTCGGTGGTAAATTTTAATTTGCTGGGTAGCGGCTGTATATGGGATTTGGTCCTCATATAATTAATGTGCAAATTTGTGGGATTCCATTATCATAAATGAGGCTCTTACCATGAAAACTGTATTCACTACTTTATTACCATTCAACACTTGTCTATCCAGGTGTCGTGGACATTACACCGGTGTTGCAATGTGGAATACAAACTCTTAAGTAATTTCCAGGCAGCTATTTCTGCATTTGCATGTTTGGCCAACAGCAGTTTACTTTATCTGTGTTTTTGTAGCTTTAACTGGGTGTTATGTGTCGCTCATGCCAGGCGAAACGCTCTGCTAACGTTGATTAAGGTTGCTTAATGTGTATATTTGCCCTAGACATACGATTATAATAGCCAGATTTAGTTGTTCAACGTTTGCCTGTTTGTAATACGATCAGGCCTACATTTCCAAAGAGACAGAGCGTATGCTGGGTGATTGATCTTGTAGATACCCCACTAAACTATGAAGGAGACATAACAACACGGGGACACCAATCATGTTTCTCCACCAATCTCTATAAACGTGTTACATGTGTGCACACTCTCCTGTCTGTCATCGCTTTCACAATATTCAATCACCTGTTGGTAGATCACCCTGCAACAGTCAACATTCCCACAGGGATTCATTTCACCTCTGTCTGTCCAGGTTGGCAACCTCGAACAATATTCACAGAACCGGCACAACACATCCAGTATACCACTCGCTTTGGCTGTCACTTATGAAAAAGAACTACGGTAATAGCCCAGTGGGCTTTACCTGGTAAAATAACAAAACATTGTTCGGTTTACTTTTTTAAATTGTCTTACTTTTTCTCTACTTTGCACTCCTATCGTTTTTTTTGTTGTTGTCATTTTCTGTCCCACCCCTACTGGACATCTATGAAAAAGAGCTTCATAGCTCATCGGATTTCTCCAGGAAAAAGATTCTGATTCTGATTCTGGCTGCTAGGCACGTGCCATCTATTCCAATATTTAGTGGCCAATTACAACGTTTATCCAACAATGCAATGAGGGATACATATGTATAGTTACGTAGAATATGTTGGCAGGTGCTGGCTCCAGTTTATTTACAACTTCATCGATTCCAATCTACGAGCCGCAGACAAGTAACACCTTGGCCTAGCAACCCATGCTTTACATAATACTTCTGAAAATCTTGATTTGAAGCTTTCGTGACTGCAGTAATCCATACTCTTTGGTTCTTTCGGTAAAGTCACGTAGTTAGAAATAAAATAAAATAAATCACGACGTTTCGATTGCAACACAAGCAATCATCACCAGGTGGGACAACCACAGCAAGAAAAACATTTCTATACTTTTTTTCTATACCCCTACCCCACACCTCCCCCCACTCTCTCCCCCCCCCCTTGCCCCTCCTCCCTTTTCTTACCTATATAACCTCTTGCCACGGCAGCTCTCTCTCCCACTTCTGAAAATATCACACGGCGTTGTTTTACTTTGCCACGAGCATCTTCTCCAGATTATAAGAGGTCCACCCCCCCTCTCCCCTGTATTATTGAAACAAAAGTTGGGGTGCGTCTTACAATCGGGTATATGTGTGTGCGCTTGTGATCAGACCGGTATGACCACTGACAACGGGCGTCGGTGGGTGGGGTACATCTAACTTCCCAGCAGCCTCCTGTAATTAGTAGAATGCAGCAAAAGCAATTTGCATGCCCTTTATCTATCCACTGCATGCGTCGTGAGACCGAGGAATAGATTGATCGTCGTTTGGCCGGTGTCTATCCACTGCTGGATGAAGGTCTCCCCACACTGTTGCCATTTCTCGCAGCTGATCTCATTCCTCCACCTCCTGCGGTCGTCTTCCTCTTGGATGAATTCTCTCCTTTGGCTGCCGTTCCAACGCCAGCCAGCCTCAACCTAATTTACGAGAAACAATTTAGTATGACGAACAAACCGCCTCGTCAAGCCACTGCGTGTGTCGCGAGCGTCGAAAGCAATAACAATCGATGGGTTTATTCTTACACGCATCACATCGCTTTAGCATGGAGGAGGAAACTGGAACACCTAGAGAGAAAACACACGTACAAAGGGATAACTTTCAGAGCTCCGCTACAGACAGATTTCAGGATCCTTTGCCCCGCTGCCAATCTCGCCACCACCAACCCAGTGTGAAAACCCCCAGTTGGTTGACTGCATTGCTGAGAAACTCAGCAGTTGCCGATAAATCAGAATGTGGCAATGAATACTCTGTTGGAAAATTTCAACTTTAAAGACCTCGGTACAGTGTAATGTGCTGATTTCAAGTCCCGATCTTGCATTGGAAAGTCGCCTCCTCCCAGCTCGTACGCGGGTGGATTCCCTCCCCCCCGTCTTAAAATGACCCTTGTTGACTCTTTGGTTCAGCATCCATTACGAACCAGCACTCATCCACTTTTGGGGTTATCTGCAATTCAGATTCCTGGAAAACAAATCATAAAACCCCAGCAAAAAACATGTACAATGTATCTGATTTACAAGAAAAAAAACAACCTATCTCATACAATTTGGAGTACAATTCCAGGAACATGTAGTCACAGGCTGAAGGTACCTTTGTTTCTCATTCCAGATTAGTTTTTTTTATTTGCTGGAGAGAGCCACTGGGACGTTGCAGCTACATTCCACGGCAACTTAGTTCTGGCCACCTTACGCATTTCGAAATCGTTGAGAATCCAGGCCCTAACTTGTCTCTTTCCTTTGCCCTTCTTTTTTCGGCCACCTCCACCCGACTTCCCCCTCCCCCGCCCTTCTCCGGCGTGGGTTCCGTGCGCGTCCGCCGGCGCCGTGCCCCAGATGGTGGGCGACTCGTCTAAAGCGCGCCGCGAGGTGGAGCTGCACGCCCGCGCCTCGGGCTGCCCGCACATCGTGCGCCTGGTGGACGTCTACGAGAACACGAGTCAGGGCAAGGCGTGCCTGCTCATCGTCATGGAGTGGTGAGTTCCACGGCCCATCACGGCCCCCCCCACCCACCCACCGTGCGTCGCACGCGCTGCCGCGCTGTGGCGGTCGGCACGCTCAACTGCATGTTTTGGATTTTCACGGGGCCACGGTTGGGGAGATGTTAACTCCCTCGCCTGGTATGTAGGAGGTCGTGAGGTCGATCACGGTCCTGATGCCTGTTGTATATTTGGAGTTTGCGTGGTCTCTCTCTCTCCCCATGGTCGCGTGGATTTTTCTCCAGGTCCTCGAGTTTTTCCCTCCACGTTTACAAACAACGCCACGCGTTTAGAGTATTTGGCTGCGATACATTTCCACGTGATAAGCCACTTCGTTGAGCTATCATTTGTGGCCAGGTCGCTTCGAAAAAGAGATATATAGTTCAGTGGGGCCTGCCTGGTAAAATAAAAAGCGGTTCATAGTTTAGATGATTGTGAAAATTTCTTAAGTCGCCCTCGCCTCTGACTTACCAGCAGAAAAAAAAATTGTTTAGCCATGGTTCGTCGATCGACAGGCAGGTTGTGTGTGGTGGGGTCAAGTCTGGGGTAGTATGCCCCCTCTTCCAAGACGTCTTGCCAAACAAAAATAATGGACCTTCTAATGGCTCTTGTTATTATTATTAATATCAATTTATTTCCTCATCACAAACCCTTCACCAACCCGCACTGACCAGCATGGGCAGGGTACGGTTATGCCGCCCCATGACTGGCAGGCCGTGGGCAGCCCTTCGTGCCGCGGTGGCTTTAACGTGTGGCCGCAAACGATTATTGCCGGCAGTGGTTTCGCGCAGGGCGCTGTTAGCCTGGCAAAAACCGAGTTACGTTACCAGCCGAGGCTCACGTCAGCGACGCACAATGTCAGAAGCAGGGGTTTACCCACCTTCACGAACCTGCATTGACCAGCGTGGTGAAGTCCCGTTACAAAAAAAATAACACCAGCCCGACCTCGAATATTACGACCCCAGGTCCAGTGTGCCGATGACGGCACCACCACAGCATCATCTTCATTCATGCCGCACAGCTCCGATGTTGTTGTTGTTGCGTGTGCGCTCCGTGTAGGACCTGTGTGGCAGAGCATGCAGCTGTGCAATTATTGGGCTTTTGTAACTGATGGGGCAGGTCACAAACATCCCCCCGCCGCCCACCATCGATGGATTTTCTAGGTGCCACTATTTATGATGTGAGCCGTGTCGTGGTTTATTTGCCTCCTTATTTTGCTGAATCTCAGGAGCCTTCTCACAGGGATGCTCGGTTTTACGATCACCTCTGATTCGCGCTCAGTTCAATATCCAAATCCCGCTGGTATGAGTTCAAGTAATGAGCACAGATGCAACTATGTGCTATCCACAGAAAGATTAAATAACATGAATAATAACAATACACAGCCCTTGATTGATTGTTCACGCTTACAGTGGCTTTCAGACAGCATACATAAAAACAAATTTCGTCTCCCCCCTCCTCTTTTCAAAAAATAGATGGACTAGTCCTGGCAAACAGCCAATCGTTGCGCGTGACGCAAACGTTATTTTTATATATATAAATAAATATGCCGTTTTCAAAATAAATTTATGCAAACCGACACACCTGATGATGACCGTTTGAGTTATGGTCGAAACGTCGTGAGAATTTTTTATTGTTTTATATATATTTTGTTATTTTGTTGTTTCTCTTCAACGTGACTTTACCGAAAAAACTAAGAATATGAATACACAGCCCCTTTGTCAATCTCATTCCTGGGGGTAGTTTGACCACATTTCACCACGTGGGTTGGTGGAGGTGAGTTATGGGTGGCATGGGCGGTTAGCCCTGGACTTTGTGAGATATCACTCGCCACTGATGTGAGCCGTGGGAAGCCATGGAACTCACGCCGCTGGGTTTGTAGTGCAGCATCACAACCGCTGCGCCGCCCGTTATCCACAAAAGCCACGTTTTCTTTATGTTTCTTTTCGTTCGTTTCTCAATCTGCTTGTCCTGGTGAACGTCGCGACAGCAGCGTGTTGAGTAGTGGCGGTCCGCAACCTCCCTTTACCAAACCACTGTGCCAGCCCTCCGCCCGTCATTCACAAAAGCTAAATTTTCTTTCTGTTGTCGTGGAATTTTATTTCCCGGTCACCGTTTCAGAAACATAAAGTCATCTCATTTTGTCTTCCACCCCCCCTCCCAAACCAACCATGGTCACGGCTTTTTTTTCGTTCCACTCAGCAACGTGACACTCATTTTTAACTAATATAAATTTGTTAAACCGGAAAGCATTTTTTTTTACTATAAATACAATTTGAATAACCTATACCCTTGAAAACATGATTATATTTCGTAATTTAAGTGTTTTCTCACTAATTGGATTAGAACGCATTGTAATGATATGAAAATTAATTTGACACGCCATTAATAGTTCGCTTAAGTGTTCAAAATGGAGTATGTTGACACTTTTACATCAGATAACAATTCACTTTGCAAATATTAATTCCTGCCTCTTTTTTTTTTACAAATTAAAATCCGCGGTTCATTTTATTTGGGAATGCCAAGCCGAGGAACGGGACGTGCCTGTGAGTATAACAAGAGAGGAGATGGAGCGACGGAATCGGCTCTGGATTTCTACGTATCGCGGGATCGTGAGAGATGGCAGATGCTGGGAGAGGCATGTATCCAGCAGTGGAGAGACGATGGCTCACGGGGTTAATTTGAGAGGTATAAATAACAGAAGCAGTGGAGGGACGTTCACACAGGCTCACGGCCACTGCCGAGTAAAAGGACATCACGATGTGTTTATGTTGAACTTCTTTCGCATATGCCAAGCGGGCTAATCAGTGGACACGGGGGAATTACAACAGAACTAAACACCAAACGCAGGTCTAAATAAATTAGTTGTCAATCGAGATGAGTTAAAGGTGCATAGCTCCAAGTGGCTTCCTCAGGGGCCGTCCATTAATGACGTCACGCACCTAGGGGGGGGGGGGGTCAGACATTTGTGACGATGTGTGACGAAGGGGGGGGGGTTTGGGAAATGTGACGTCACATCAAAATGCGCAACTTTAAATAAATATAGACAACACGCTCTACTTGATTAAATAGACTTTTTAATAAATGTTTTCTCCTACAACTACAATGACAATAGTTTAAAGCGATTTGAAGCATGTTTTATTTTTTGAGGGGGGGGGCAGAGCTTTGTGACATCATATTTGAGGGGGGGGGTCTGACTTTTTGTGACGTTGTGTGACGAAGAGGGGGGGTAAAAAATCGTCCAAAATAGCGTGACGTCATTTATGGACGGCCCCAAATGTCAGAAGGAAGAGCGTTCCAGACGGCCGCAGAAGGGCGTCTGAAAGCACACGACGATGAATGCGAATTGTGTTACAGTAGTCAACTGTGACTCTTACTGTGAGTTAACAAATTGACTTTTATGAATAACATCAGGCTGTGGACAAAATCGCGACGTGCCCGAGCTCATGTTGTTCTGCTGCTAGCACCGTTTACAAAAAAGAGAAATAAATCATCTCTTACAAACAAACACGCATAATTTCTGCACAAATCTGGCGGAAAATGTGATTCGACTCCCGTGCTTTTTTTTGCCGACCCCGGCAAAAGAGGCAATTCACCATCAGCGGATGAGTTTTGAGTCGTCGCGGGGAGAGAAAAAAAAAGGTCCTGCGCCAAACTCGGAATTGTCATCGTTGGTCACGTGCGAGCGACCGTGGTTACGTGAGTTGCCCCGTAACGAGGGCTGACCGCCACGTGATGCTGCACGGTGATTATTGGCATTTTCCAGCAATGGGGAAAGAAAAAACAGTTAAAACGTTGTTGAAAATTGGTGTGAAAATATCCTCCGTAATGCATCGGTTGTCGTTTTTGAATATCGAGGAGATTAAATTTTAATATATATTTATATCATATATTTTATATTTTCTGTTTCACAGTGACGTAGACCCACTGCTGACGCAGGGCAACATCTCACTTTAAGCTGTCGTTTAGTTTGCAAAGGAATTAATTCCACTTTAAGGTTAAAGGAAACACATTCCGTTTGCGTTATGAAAATGTAGACATTTGAATTTCCAAGGTGACATTGCTCCTGCTATTTTATGGTAAAATTTAATATTTAATATTTCATCATCTTGCTCTTTATACGTTTTTCGTTTTTTATAAAATGTTTCGTCAACAATTGTTACCTTACGTTCACGAATCCTCTTCTGTAATACTTTGCAAAACTATTTTTTGCAATTTTTCACATATGGAAGATGTAGCACGAGTTTTTGTTAGCTAATGATATAATTGCTGGTGTATGACCACGCTTGAGATGAAGACGAGTTCTTCATAATAAAGGTTTTTGGGTTAGATCGCGTATGTGTCGTAACCCCTCCACCACCCTACACAGCCAGTACTGTTTGCCACGTAAACAAAACGCCAATCAGTTTACTACTTCAGCCCTCCGGCCTGTTGGAGAAGTAAATCCACAAAAAAAAATCTCAGAAGTACGACGTTTCGCTGGTAACTCCATCAACCAGCGTCATCGGACGAATTGTTGCGTGGTTCTGTCCGCGTGCGCTTTTGCCGGCGAGGCTTCTGTCATTGAAATGAGCAGCAGCGCACCCCGTGGCGGTGTTGCAGCACAACATCGCCAGCGGGGAGACAAAGGCGGCATCCGTGCGTGGTGGTGCTGGCCATCCCGCCCCGTCCTGTGCCCTGCCGGCCTTCATAGGCGCTGCTCGCTCACTGAACTTGCCCTCCCCCCCCGCGAGGCTACACGGGGGACCTTTTGTGTATTTTGTGTTTGTTTTCTCGGGGGTGACTCGACGCCTTACGTCAGGGCGCGTAACGCAACGACGAGATCCGATCTGCATGAGAAACGTCTTTCGGTGTTTTGTTCGCTATAAGGTTTCAGTTCAATTCAGTTTATTTTGGTATCGAGCCCTGTGAGCCATTCGGCTCTTGAATCGGAGTACAACCGCAACAAACAAAAAAACACGAACACGAAAAACGTCTTAAAGTGACTATGTGCTGTT